GCTATGGCTCAGATCTATGGGGCAGATCTATGGGTCAGATCTATGGGGCAGATCTATGGGGCAGATCTATGGGGCAGATCTATGGGGCAGGCTAGGGGTCAGTTCTATGGGGCAGATCTATGGGGCAGATCTACGGGTCAGGCCTAGGGGGCAGATCTATGGGTCAGATCTATGGGGCAGGCTAGGGGTCAGATCTATGGGTCAGATCTATGGGGCAGGCTAGGGGTCAGTTCTATGGGTCAGATCTATGGGGCAGATCTACGGGTCAGGCCTAGGGGGCAGAGCCACGGCCGAGCGGCGCGGGGCGGCGGCGCGGTTCGGAGCTCCGCAGCGCCCCCAAGCGGCCGTTGTCGCTGCCCGCAGGCGGCTGCGCGTTCCCGACGCTCCGTCCCGGGGAGCGCACCCTGCTGACCGTGGACGCGCGCGCCGCCGGGCCCGGCAAGGTCACGTGCTCCGTGCTCAGCCCCGACGGCGCCGAGGTGGACGTGGACGTGGCCGAGAACCCCGACGGCACCTTCCACGTGTCGTACACCGCGCCAGAGCCCGGCTGCTACGGCCTCACCGTCAGATTCGGGGGGCAGCACGTCCCCAACTCGCCCTTCCGCATCGTGGTGCGTGGCCGGGGTCAGGGGTCATTAGGGTCAGGGGTCATTGGGGTCATTGGGGTCACGGGGTCATTGGGGTCATTGGGGTCATGGGGTCATTGGGGTCATGGGGTCATTGGGGTCACAGGGGTGATGGGGCACCCGGCTGCTACGGCCTCACCGTCAGATTCGGGGGGCAGCACGGCCCCAACTCGCCCTTCCGCATCGTGGTGCGTGGCCGGGGTCAGGGGTCATTGGGGTCATTGGGGTCACGGGGTCACTGGGGTCATTGGGGTCACAGGGGTGATGGGGCACCCGGCTGCTATGGGCTGACCATCAGATTTGGGGGACAGCACAGCCCCAACTCGCCCTTCCGCATCGTGGTGCGTGGCCGGGGTCGGGGGTCATTGGGGTCATTGAGGTCACGGGGTCATTGGGGTCATTGGGGTCATTGGGGTCACAGGGGTGATGGGGCACCCGGGCTGACCATCAGATTTGGGGGGCAGCACGTCCCCAACTCGCCCTTCCGCATCGTGGTGCGTGGCCGGGGGCCATTGGGGCCATGGTCGCGGCGTCATTGGGGGGTCACGGAGTCATCGGGGGGGTCATGGGGGCACTGGGAGGGCAGAGGTCCCGGGGGGGTCAGGAGGTACAGGGGGGAAGGGGAGGTCATGGGGGTCAGAGGTCATGGGGGCGCTGGGGTCAGGGGTCAGGGGTCAAGGGTCATGACCTGGCAGCTGTGGGTCACTGCGAGGTTTGGTGCCCCCGCTGTGCCCCACATCTCCCCCCTGACCCCACTGTGCCCCACATCCCTGCTGACCCCGCTGACCCCACTGACCTCTCTGACCCCCCTGACCCTGCTGACCCCGCTGTGCCCCACATCTCCCCCCTGACCCCACTGCACCCCACATCCCCCCTGACCCTACTGTGCCCACCATCTCCCGCTGACCCCCCTGACCTCCTTTACCCCCCTGACCCCCCTGACCCTGTGACCCCTCTGACCCTGTGACCCCTGACCCTGTGACCTCCTGACCCCACCCGCAGGCGACATCGGAGCCCCCGACGCCCACTGAGAGCCTCCGGCCCTTCAGCCTCGATCTGCCCTGCGCCCCCCTCAAGGGAGACATCACCGGTAGGGGGCGCTGTGGGTCCATCTATGGGGCGCTGTGGGGCAACGTGTGGGGTGATGCGGGGCAATGTGTGGGGTGCTATGGGGCAACGTGTGGGGCGCTGTGGGTCCATCTATGGGTGCTCTGGGTCCATCTATGGGGCGCTGTGGGTCCATCTATGGGTGCTCTGGGTCCATCTATGGGTGCTATGGGTCCATCTATGGGGCGCTATGGGTCCATCTATGGGGCGCTATGGGTCCATCTATGGGTGCTATGGGTCCATCTATGGGTACTATGGGTCCATCTATGGGGCGCTATGGGTCCCTATGTGGGGCGCTGTGGGTCCATCTATGGGTGCTATGGGTCCATCTATGGGGCGCTGTGGGTCCATCTATGGGTGCTATGGGTCCATCTATGGGTGCTATGGGTCCATCTATGGGGCGCTATGGGTCCATCTATGGGGCGCTGTGGGTCCATCTATGGGTGCTATGGGTCCATCTATGGGTGCTATGGGTCCATCTATGGGGCGCTATGGGTCCATCTATGGGGCGCTATGGGTCCATCTATGGGTGCTATGGGTCCATCTATGGGTACTATGGGTCCATCTATGGGGCGCTATGGGTCCCTATGTGGGGCGCTG